AGAATGAAGAAGCAAATGATTAGAAGCTAGAGTATAGACACTAAGATAATAGAAACTAGAGGTAGTAGACTTGTAATAGAACTACATGATAGGGGTTGCAAGGTTTAGAAACAGCATCTTCGCTTGCATTTTTAAAATTCATTGCAACATTGCTCATTAAATTTCACCAGGGTTCAAACCGGCTACGACATAACTTTTCAATCAATGAGCAAGTATATATGGATCGCTCTTTCGCTCTTCGTGCGCCATAACTGCAACACTAGATCTATGATGCGCACATTCGTGAAGCACTGACAGAATCAAACCAAATGCAAACACGATGTTTTATATTCAATCGCAGCTGCGCTGCGAGAGAACGACTATTTCTCTCAGCACAACTCTATGAACGTGTGATGGCGTAAGAAGTCCCGAAGTGTAACTAAATCTGGAATGATTTCGTTCCTTTCCAGAAATATGTTTACGGCGTGCTGTGCTAGGATAGAAATAAATCTCGAAGGCTGTGCCTTGGAATGCAAGTTCGGAATCAACCATGCTTAGCAATTTCATCCGAATTACTAGATAGGCTCCTGTCAAGAGATTCGGAATAATATTAACCGATATGATGAAATGTGATAAGCATGAGCCGATGTAGCGCGAGTTTTCAACACGGTTCTAGTTTCGTTGTCAATTGGAATTGACTTACACTTGATCGCAATAAGAAATCTCGCGGGCTCGCATAATACGATAAATTAGAATCGGAAGGCGTGTGCTCATCCGTGCGACACGCTCAATTGTAAAAGTTAGGGCCCTTGTTAAGGTTCCTAACTCAATCGAAGGATTCAATATAAATTACCATGCTCTTACTTCATCGTACTTGTCGCCTCGGAATTACATTGATGTGCCGTAGTATGAGCCATGCCTCAACTAACCAAAATTACTACGCAATACTGGAAGGTAATTATAGCGACGGCGAAATTCTCCTTCGCAAAAATGCAAATGAAATCGCATAACGCAGAAAACAACACAAAAGCATTGAAACGTCGTTGAACTTTTACCTGAGACGAACAATATCTGCTCAGTTAGAAATCTTATAGTCTGCAAACCACTAATCGTCATAAGACGATACTTAATGCACTACACTATCCAGGTTTACGAATTATGGTGTAAAATTAAAAAGAAGACAGGTAATATATTAATGAGCGACGCATTAGTGACACGCGGCATCGGATTGTCGTCTATAGCCAATAGAAAATCTCGAGAACTATATATGTAAAATCAAGACGTGGTGCGTGTGGAACAGCATCATTATCCGCATTTAGCAGTATCAAAGAAGTACTTTTAACTATATACCAAGACGTTTCTCTGTGAGCTTACAAAATTTGTTAACTCACAGAGGAAGTAATCCCCTAAATGCAACCATCCTTTATTATATTAAACAATTACATTCATTAACTTATGTCGCATCTGTTGCACGCGTCATGGGAAGAACTGTATAGTTAACCCTAGCTAGCATTTTAACATTAACTTGGAGCATCACTTAATGGCGTTCAGAACACACGATTTCTTAATAATATTAATATGTTAGGTAACCAGCGCACTTTGGTCATTTCAATAATGAGATGGTAAATTACGCACACAATAGTATTTACAAACAGTCGTAATGTGTGATGTTACTCTCTATCGCATAAGTAACTCTACGTAAAATTCCGTTGAATGCGCCTCCGTAAGTTTTCGTCTTCTTTCTATTGAGCATAGAGTTCGATTATAGAAATTCGAAACCCTCTATTTTCTGTGACTTTGTTGCCGTGGCGTGACGGCGGAGGTATTGTATCAAGAGGTATTCAAACCTTCTTAATACCGTTCTTGATGTAGGAAAAAGAGTATTAAACGACATTTACGTGATGCAGTAGATAGAGTATAACATTAAGGCCTTAGTAGCAATACAATTTGTGTTAATTACAATCATTTATATTCACACAAACCAAATAAAGTTGCAGTGCAGGTAACGATAAGATTTGACCGTAACCTTCTTATTCTGACCGAGGGCGAGTGACTCAGTTTATACTGCGAAGAAAACTGTCTGTACCTTCCTGTCCCCACACGCGCCACCACACATGTATAGCATAATAGCACTTTTTGGCTTTCGGATTCCACGCTTGCAATACTGTTAAATGCGTACATAACTATAATGAAAATGCGTTTAATTATTTAGGGAAGTCTAACGTTTCGCGACACTATCGACCTCCAGCCAAGCAATCAACAATTCACTTTTTAACATTGATAAAACACGCAGATATTTTTTTTCTTCTGGAATCTATTAGCGACTCGCGCACGAACCTGTCCCCCTCTGCTCGCTCTCTCTCCGTCGCTCCCTCTCCATTCTTTCCATCAGATATACTCGCTACCTCGCTCACACGTATCCGTCTTAAATCACTCCATTGGGGATGAGAAACCGCCAACTCTCAGGTATATACTCTAAACAGCTACAAGCTTTCTCTTCTTTCGCTTCTCTCTCCCTCTCTTTCTCTCTTTCGCTGCGGTTACTGTGGGCATGCAACGCATATGTACGTACCAGCTGGTCGCGCACCGCCGCTACACGAGTCATGCGTTCTACTCGCTCTCTCTTCTAGTTCCTCTCCATTAATCGCTCGCGCTCACTGTCTGTCTCTGAGCATGCGCGCGGCCATCACTGCAGCGATAGACGGTCGTGGAAAGCGCGCGACCAGCCGTCGTAGCAGCGGCAGCAGCGCTCAGTAGTGGCAAGCGACAGGCAGACAGAGGCAACAACTACGGCAGCAACACAAGCAGACAGCGGCCGCCAGCATAACAACAAAAACATCAACAACACAAACGTCTGCAGCGCAGAAGAAGATGGGAGGAAAGGAAGGGAGAAGAACAACACAGAGATGGAAGAGGAGAAGAGGAGAAGGAGAGGATAGGACGATCAGGAGGAGAGGACAACAACAGCAGTAGTATCAATATTATACATCTTCATTACCCATCAATCATTCATCAATCATCATCATCATGCATCATCACCATCACGATTATTATTATTATTATTATTATATATGGTAGTAGTATGTATATATATGTGTGCGTGTGTGAGGGCAGAGAAAGAGGGAGATAGCCTGAGAAAAAAGGAAGCGAGAGAGAGCAGGGAGAGTGAGCAAACTTAATTTGGTGTCGTAACAGTAGTGAACAACAATGTATGATGCTTAGGGAATCTTGCAGTAATCAGCAATGAATGCATTTACAGATATTTATTTATTTTGCAAATTTCTTTAGCCAACTATTACCAAAAGCTATAAAAATAAAAGCAAAAACTCCATATTCTAAACAAAGGTAAAAATAAATTTGGTAGCGATAGGATATTTGGGATACAACCAAAGAAGTGTTGGCGTTGCTGCGTGCACTACCTTAACCTTCTATTGCCCTCGAGCGTAGATCATGTAATACTGAAAATTTCCGTGTAGTGAAATAATTTCGTAATGGTTTAACTGAATTTCCGCGAATACCTAAACCGCGTTGAACGATATAGTTAACTGCATATTATTGCGAGCTGTGGTAAACTTGTACATAAATGCACGCTTGCGTGATCTCGTGTTCAGCTGATGTGTTTTAATACATACAAACGTTTTAATTGCGTTGTCCCATAAGTCTTTTAAGATACGGTGTGTTTAATAGTCATAGGTCCTGCTAAATATACATGAATTACCGTTGAATTGGGAATGTACTCTGCGTGGGCGCAATCAGCAAAGCGATACTACGAAAGTGAATTCCCGAGGAGGTTTGGAGACACTTCTTATTTATCTACTACCTATTATTCTGATAATTTCCAGCTTATCTTTGCTCTCCAAATATCTGTAATATCTTAAAATGAATAACAGTGAGAAACCGGTGTATACATTGTATATGACATTGAGAGTAGATGTATTGAGTACTTAATCGTGATATTCCGGACTCCGTCGTGGTTGCGGGAGGGGGACGTTGTGGTTAGCAACGCCAACGATAGCGAAAATAACCCGCTCTGCCACCAGCTGTTATTCTCACTAGCACTGATATAAATCGAAACATCGTTGCTGCCGACCGCTTCTCGTAGACGTACGTGCATCATCGGTATAGCTCGGCAGCGTGCAGGTATTGGCAGGTATCATTTTTGGCATCCGTCCAGGCTAGCTGCTTTCTGTTGCATGGTCTTTACAGTGAATTGGCATTATTATAAACCACGCGCGTTGGTATGGTCGCTCAGTCACGCGCTACGTATTAACTAATTAGGGGCCAAGTAAATATTCAATATTGATCTGATAAAAGCGCAGCGCACCATAGGTGATGCTAGGTGGAACACGGTGTATTGTGTTTTATCATAGCAATAATGCCAGCAAGCCACAAGCACAGGGCCCCGTTGTCAGAAATATCGTAAATGGTTTATGACTGTCTTGAGTCTAAAATGTCATAACTTTTGCATGACACTTCACTTAAAATGTTATGACATTTTAGACTTGTGATGTCATAATTACACACGATGTTTCTGAAAATAGACCGCCGTGTTTTAGTTCAAGAATAATAATAATAATAATAATAATAATAATAATATGGATGGTGATGATGATGATGATGATGATGATGATGATGATGATGATGATAATGAAGATGTTGATAATGATGATACTACTGCTGTTGTTGCTCCTCCCCCTCCTGCTCCTCCTCATCCTTCTTCTCCTTCTCCCCCTACTTTCCTCTCTCGTGTTGTTCTCTTCACCCTCTCCTTCTCCTCCCCATCCTTCTTCTGCTGCCACGTTTGTTGTTGTTGATGTTTTTGTTGTTATTGCTGCGGCCGCTGCTGCTGCTGTTGCTGTCGTTGTTGTTGCTACTGCTGCTGTCGCTGTGCCACTACTGCGGCTGCTGCCGCTGCTACGCGGCTGGTCGCGCGCTTTCCACGCCGTCTCATCGCTGCATGATCGGCCGCGGCGCATGCCTACAGAGACAGACAGTGAGCGCGAGCCGATGAGAGGGAGAGAGAACTAGAGGAGAGAGCGAGTAGAACGCATGCACTCGTGTAGCGGCGTGCGCGACCAGCTGGTACGTACATGCGTCTGCATGCCCACAGTCACGCAGCGAAAGAGAAGAGAGAGGGAGAGAGGAAGCGAAAGAGAGAAAGCTTGTAGCTGTTTAGAGTAGTATCACCGGAAGGCTTGTAGCGGTTTCTCATCCCCACAGGAGTGATTTCAGGACGGATACGGTGTGAGCGAGGTAAGCGAGTAATTATATCTGATGGGAAAGATGGAGAGGGGAGCGAGCGAGAGAGAGCGAGAGAGGGGGACAGGTCGTGCGCGAAGTCGCTAATGAGATGCCAGAAGAAAAAAATATCGCGTGTTTCGTATACAATTATAAAAGCTGGCTATAATGTGAATTGCTAATGCGTGGAGGTCGATAGTGTCGCGAAAGCGTAGACTTCCCTAAATAATTAAACGCATTTCATTATAGTTATGTACGCATTTAACAGTATCTGCACAGCGTGGAATCCGAAAGGCAAAAAAGTGCTATTATGTATACAGGTGCGCGTAGTGGGGACAAGGGAAGGTACAGCACAGTTAATTCTTCCAGTATATACGTGAGTCACTCGCTACCGCGGTCGGCATAGTAAGAAGTGTTACGCAAATCTGTACGTTACCTGCACTGGCACTTAATTGGGTTGTTTGAATAGTAAAATGCTTGTAAATTAACACAAATTGTATTTGCTACTAAGGCCTTAATGTTTTATACTCTCTATCGTCATTCCACGTAAATGTCGTTTAAATACTCCTTTTTCCTACAATCAAGAGCGTATTAAGAAGGTTCTTAATACGCTCTTGATACAATCCCACCGCACGCACGCCACTGCACAAAGTCACAGAAATATAGAAGGGTCTTTCGGAATTTCTCTTAATCGGAACTCTATCTCATAGAAAGAAAGAGAAGAACTCTACGAAAGCGCATTTCAACGGCATTTTACGTAGAGTTATTATGCGATAGAGAGTACACACACATTACGACTGTTGTAAATACATTGTGTGCGTATTTACCATTTCATTATTGAAATGACCCAAGTGCCGCTGGTTACCTACATATGACATATTAAGAAACGTGTGTTCATGAACGCCATGTAAGTGCTCTCCAAGTAAATATTAAAATGCTAGCTAGGGTTAACTCATACATTTTCTTCCAGTGACGCGTGCAACAGATGCGCATAATTAATGAAAATGTAATTGTTTAATCAAATAAAAGGATGGTTGGCATTTAAGGGTGATTACTTCCTCTGTGAGCTTACAAATTTTGTAAGCTCACAGAGGAAGCGTCTTGGTATCTAGTTTAGAAAGTACTTCTTTGATACGTGCTAAATGCCGATAATGAATGCTGTCCACCACGCACCACGTCTTGACTTTTACATATTATAATTCTCTCGAGTTTTCTATTGGCATGAACACAATCACGATGCGCGTGTCACTAAATGCGGGTCGCTCAATTCTAATAATTACCGTCTTCTTTTTTAATTTTACACCATAGATTCGTAAAACCTCGGATATGTAGTGCCATTAAGTATACGTCTTATCGACGATTAGGTGGTTTGCAGACTATAATGTTCTTAACTTGAGCAAGATATTGTTCGTCTCAGGTAAAAGTTCAACGACGGTTTTCAAGGCTTTTGTTGTTTGGTTTTCTGCGTTATGCGATTTTCATTTGCATTTTGCTGAAGGAGAAGATTTTCGCCGTCGCTAGTAATTACTCCCAGTACTTGGCGTAGAATTTGTGGTTAGTTTGAGCAGTGGCCTCATACCTACGTCACTCAATGTAATCCCGAGGACAAGTTACGATGAAGTAAGACATGGTAATTTATATTGAATCCTTCGATTGAGTTAGGAGACCTTAACAAGGGGTAACCTTTTACATTGAGCGTGCGCACGATGAGCACACGCCTTCCGATTCTATGTATCGTATTATGCGAGCACGCGGAGATTATTATTGCGATCAAGTGACGTCATTCCGATTGACAACGACAACTAGACCGGTTGTGAAAACTCGCGCTAACATCGTGCTCATGCTTTATCCCATATTCATCCATTCCGGTTAATATTTATTCCGAATCTCTTGACAGTAGCCTATCGTAAGTTCGGATGAAATTGCTAAGCATGGTTGATTCCAACTTGATTCCAAGGCACAGCCTTTCCGAGTTATTCCTTATCCTACACAGCACGCCGTAAACAGTTTCTGGAAAGGGAACGAAATCCATTCCTAGATTTTAGTTAACACTTCGGTGACTCTACCGCCATCATCACGTCATGAAGTTGTGCTGAGAGAAATGAAAGTCGTTCTCTCGCAGCGCCAGCTGCGATCGAATATAAAAACATCGTGTTTGCATTTGTTTGAGTTCTTTCCAGTGCTTCACGAATGTGCGCATCGTAGAATTAGCTGTTGGCAGTATGCGGCACGAAGAGGCGAAGAGCGATCCATATATACTGCTCATTGATTGAAAAGTTATGTTCGTTAGCCGGGTTGAACGCCTGGTGAAATGTTAATGACGCAATGTGTGCAATGAGTTTAAATAAATGAACGAAGATGCTTGTTTCTTATAACCCTTGCTAACCCCTATCATGTAGCTTCTATTATCAAGCTACTACCCTCTAGTTTCTATTATCTAGTGTCTATCCTCTAGCTTCTATCATTTTGCTTCTATCATCTAGCTTCTATTATCTAGCTTCTATCCTCTAGCTACTACCCTCTAGCTTCTATTATCTAATGTCTATCCTCTAGCTTCTATCATTTTGCTTCTATCATCTAGCTTCTATTATCTAGCTTCTATCCTCTAGCTACTACCCTCTAGCTTCTATTATCTAATGTCTATCCTCTAGCTTCTATCATTTTGCTTCTATCATCTAGCTTCTATCATCTAGCTTCTATTATCTAGCTTCTATCCTCTAGCTACTGCCCTCTGGCTTCTATTATCTAATGTCTATCCTCTAGCTTCTATCATTTTGCTTCTATCATCTAGCTTCTATCATCTA